TATAGTATATAATACTATATAATATCTACATAACACTATATAATATAATATAAGTAATAATAGTATATTTGATATATTTATATATATAATGGTATATATATATATATTCTTTTTTCCAAAACATTAATTTCTTTAAATTATTAAATACTTTTTAATAAATGTGTTGAGGAATATGTGGTAAAAAGATATGAAGTAAAATTTAGTATTGTAGTGAAATTAATAATTGAAATTTTTTTTTTCACTTTTAGAGGAGATTTTAATATGGATAAAAGCGTTTAACACGTTGACTGCCAACTACGAGATATCTCGTAGTTTGTTTACTTGCCCTGGACGCCTTACTACGAGATATCTCGTCCCTTCATTACTTATCATATTTGTAAAGCTACGAGAAAATCCGTAGTATAACAGTGTAAATACGAATAAATGGTATCAGGATAGACAAGAAAAAATCAGGTTTGGCTTATTGTAAAAATTGTAAAAAATTAACGACAAATTTCATTATTACTATGTACTATAAATAAAGTTTTTAATAATATAACACGATTAAATCAAATTGGATTCTTAGACCGGAATCGTGAAAAATTGCCTCGCAGTCAACGTGTTAAGAAATTCAAAATTTGAAATTTTCCATACGACAGTTTCTTTTTTGTGTAAATTCGTCTATTTTTCAAGGACGATATATTTTTGTTTTTTTTTAAATACTTACCGATGGCGAGTAAAATTTTCAAAGAAGGATTAGCTTTCTTTAAGTTAACGATCCGTTCGTACAATCCAGTTTTTCCATCTTTCGTTTCATCGTTCGACTCGAAGCTGGTTAGCTTGTTCTTCTTCAACCAGCCGAACGCGAAAACGATGTGGGTACACAAGTCTGGCTGTATGTCTTCTGGCATGAACTTTCCAATTTTCGTGCGATATTGGGACCAGTTTGTATAGTAACATACAAGCTGCACAGAATTGAAATTGCATTACGATTCCTCTCTTCTTTCCCCGCACTTGATATTTTATCTTTAAAAAGTGTAATTAGGGTGGCATTCCTTGACAGAACCATAAAAATAGCATACAGGATTTTTCGTTATTGATATTCTCTAAAAAAAATAAAATATTTACAATGATTTAAAAATGATTAAAAAATAAAGGTATTAAAATTATTTAAACAATTTAAACGGTTTATTTATTTGAAAAATAACTTTCTATGCGTTCAATTAGAAAGAAAGTAATTATAGAATATTCTCGAATGCAATTATTCATTTTTGATATGAGATATAAGTAGTAACTTAATTAATAGGTAATAACTAGTAGGCTTAACTAGTAATTTTTATTTACAGATTGAAGTTGGTTACCCTGTAGAATCAAATGACAAAGAATACTGAGATATTGTGATATGTATAGTGAGACAGAATGATAAAGAATGATACAAAATATTAGTACAGACATAAAGAGTCTATTATTAGAAATTTATTAAATTATTAAAATAATGTAAAAACCCTAATAACGTAAATTATTCTATTTCTACGTCAATTACTGTCATGAAGATCCTGAAAGTGAAGACTAAGGAAATATTGTTGATAGAAATTGTATAATGAGATTGTAAAAATAGTCAGCAGCTAAATAGAAGTATTCCCACTTTTGAAACAGTAACTGAAGATATTCCAGAGATAGTATGCTCGAGTATGAATAAAATTTATGGACTCTCTCAAGCCAGAAGAATTTTATTGGTTTTAATTCAATATCTGATTGTATTGACATTTCTGACTGATATCTTGTCAATGTTACACGATGTTGTATTGTATTATTGACAGGGTTTATGAGAGACTAAAGTTCTCCCAAATGTTTGAGTTATTACAGACAATTTAGTAGTAATTAATTAATAGTAACTGATACTTAAGAAATTAAATTGAAATTGAATGTTAGTTATCAATCTTTTGAGGTTAAGTTGGCATTAAGTACCTAGGGGTTACCCCTAGGGGTTTTCTGGACTCGAAGATAGTCGCCATCTGAACACTGCAACGATAACTCCGTGTTTGTACACGTGATCTATCGGTATGCTTGGCCATGTCATTTGATACCGACGTGGACACTGTATTATCGACAGATACAACACAGGAATAATTGCGTGCATATAGAAAATAAAATTGAGTGTACTGTAGTGTTAAATGAAGGTATTGTTTCGAATTCACTAGCTAGGGAATCGCAGTATACAAACTGCGAATAGTGCCGAGTATTGGCGACATCTACCGTGTGATTTCGGTATCAATCGGAATTGTTACTAGAGAACATAACCTAAAACACCTCCCTATAGCAGTCAAACCAACTGTAATATTACTCGCCTAATCTAAGTGCCTACTTAGATTTCTCTTTGTTTTATCATAGTACCTATCCTTTAAATCTGAAAATTACTTTAATTTGAATAGTAACACGAAAATATTTATTTCGACCAACATTAAGGATTATTTAATGAATATAAATGATGAATAGCTACAATAAAATTTGCAAAAGAGAAGAGAATATTATTTTTTTCTCCTAAACAAGGGAATTTTATAGTAAAGCAATTTTTATACATAAATTACAAAAATGATAGGAATAAAGACAGCTGAATTAAATTAGGAAATGTTATCCTCTAATGTGATCCTCCTCTGCATTCATCTGATGTTGCGTAACTGGATTATCATCTCCCTTCATCTCTTTGATATTTTTCAGACAATGACAAAATTTATCTACACAGATAACATAGGAAACGTTAAACGCGAATTCATCGATTCGTGAAGCGTGGATTTTTTGAATCGTAGAATTAGAAACCTGGTGCATAAATGAGGAAAGGGTACGAATAGATGGGGATTATGTAAGTGATTAGGAAATCTTCTACATATCCTTGATCGATATAGCATAGATCTATAGTGAAACGAAGGCAAAGAGTTACAGTTAGGTTACAATTTAATTCTAATGTTGGACGTTTCTTGAATAAATTTTTACACTTTTATTCGAGCAACGAGGAAGGAATGAATTTTCATTTAAACAGCAAATAAAAATTTTTTTATTTGAGTAACGAGGAATGAATGAATAGTTATTTTAATAATGAATAAATTTTTGATTCGAATAATGGAAAATGAACGAATTGTTATTTCAATAACAAATAACGAATGAAATTTTTATTTATATATATATGTTTTTTATTATATTATAATGCATATAACAAAGAATACTATAATTAAGTCTTAAAAGTAAAAATTTTAGCGATGTTGCTGCATAAAAATATCTGTTTTTAATACTAATCATGGTGATCCTGACAGTGTTCACTATGTCACGTTTCAGTGAGTTCAGAATCTTTTATACTACCATAAACGCGAGGATAATTATCATACCTACCTTGTAATCCTCTGATTTACCAGTCTGGATTTCATTCTTTTTGTTTTTGTTACTGATACGGTTTCGCGTGACCTTGAATCTGTTCACGCTAGCGGAGACTTCCTGATCGTTCGAGATCGATGGGGCGGCGGTTGCTGGTCTGCGAAATCTTTTCCTTGTACCTGTTTCAAACATTATTTCCATATTTAAAATGCATTGCACGTATGTTTCCATTTTCATCTTTATTTATTTTCGAAATAAAGGCAGGGAGTGGGTGAAAAATTAACGATACGCGAGAGGTTAGTTTCGGAGAGTTTAATTTTGGCGGGAAATTTGAATTACGACTTAGTCGCGTCCTTCGAAAAATAGCGTTTACGATGACTTATATTGTTTTATAAAATAATAAATAAGGTGATCGTGTACATAATGTGTTAAAGAGGCAAATATCGAGTTAAAAATATAATTTGTGCGTCATCGATCGACATTGTTATTCTAATAGCAACCGTCTTTTATTTTATAGTTTAAGTTAAAGATTACAATAATCGTTTATATTTATATCTCGTGATTTTAATGTAGAAAATATAAATTTAAAATTGCTTTTAATTGGACATAAATGTAGCGATTAAAGAAGAATATTTAGATTTGCTCAATAGGGAATAATTTATATAATTTTTGCAATTTTTATAAATTTCTGTACTTAGAATTTTTGTAATTTCTGCAATTCTTACAATTTTTATAATTTTTATATTTTGTGCTATTTATATCTAGTAATAATCTTTATTATTTTTGATAAGATAACGTTAGATATGTTAATAGAGATTAGATGATGTTAGATCTTAACTGAAATGCTCAATCAATATTATTTTCTCGAGTAATTATTAATATTATATATTTGTTATTTATTTTATTATTAATTATTATATATTATATTAAAAATAATACATTATATTAATATATTATTAATTATATATTAGAATTAATAGCATTTAAAGTATTTATATTAGTAAAAATATTATTTATATATAATACAAATATAATACTGATATTACTATATATAATACTAATATTAATGTATATCCACTGTACGATATATGTATGCACACGCTAACCAGAATAAAAGCATTTAAATGCGTGCTGGAAAGAAGAAATTTACTCGAGAAAGTTTTTCGAGATATTAGTGTCAATTTTGTTTAAAGTTTGCATAACTCTGCTCACTCGAGCTTGTACGGGACACTCTTATGTAATGACTTATATATCAGAGGAACGAAAATGGAGATTAACGCCTTTCGCTCGTTATAGTCATTTGCTTCCGTAATCTCATCTTAAAAAAAAAAAAAAAAAAAAAAAAAAAGGAAAT